TCCATTAGTAATACCGCGCCATCTTTGAAGTACATTTTTACTGCGGCCCAGTGACAAAAAACTTATGGACCAGCACTGGTCCCCGGACCGGTGGTTGGTACTGTAACATGAGTAGAAATGCCCATTTATATCCTCCTTTGGGTATTTTAGTTTGCTTCACGGAAGCTTCACAAGATTCCGAAAGTGTTGCTGGGTGGAGGATAGGAAATAATTTGAGGAGTTGTTGTAAATTTGGTTTGTTTGCACCGTCAGCACCACCGGTTAAAATCGGTTCGCTGATGATTTTTATCACCTTTGGCCTCATCCGTGTGCCAGTCAAACCAGTGTGGTTAGGGGAAGTGAAACAAACCAATGAGTGATTACCCATTTCGGTTTGGATTTCCTCGGATGGCGCGCTTCTAAGGATGAGCAGGTGGTCGTAATATTTCTTCCCTCTAGGTGCGTGCCAATTTTCTTTAACATCGCTTCGTGGCTATGAAGTTGTCCCTCGCGGCACATAAAAGCTGCCCAACGCTAAAACCGACTGATGGAGAATCGACGCCCAGCGTGATTTACTCTCTTTGAAGCGAACCAAAGTCAACATACGATGGAGAGGATCAGTGAAATGATGGCCGACGAGAAGATTTGTTTTGTTTTTTTGTTGCTTGATACTGTCCTTTTTGTAAGGCCGATCTCTCTCTCCTTCATCAATAGAATGACTAAGTCCATTAATCCTGCTAGGCTTGGACGCAGTCACTATCCCCACCTGACTTTTTTTGGACGGACTAAACCGCGTCGATTCCAAGCGATTATAGCAGATATCTCAGAGGCTTAAGAGTATCTAAGTTCCACAGGTGGTCAACAGAGTGAGGACGGCTGGCTTAGAGTAAAGACTCAGGGAGGGTATATCATTTCAAAAAACGCTGGGGTTTTCGCCGACGCCCGGTTTTTTGGACCTGTCAGAGGTTTGTTTGGCTCGGAGAAAGCTCAGATTAATATCCAGTTAGTCGAAACCCCCTTTGTATTCATGACGGAAACTATTGGGAGAAGACAGTAGGGTCATAATTCACGTTGTGAACGTCTCCAAAGATTACTTCGCATCTGTGTATTTTACCTTTAGCAAGTCAAAGCATTTAGCATATGAATCTAAAAAACAATGGTGCTAAGTATAGGAGATTTTTTTTTTTTTTTAAATATGTCCTACCTGAGTGGCGCTTTGGCCCAGAGGTAGGATGGAATCCCGGTGAGGGCGGTTGGTACCTTCCAGTGGACTCATCACCCGCAGGAAGGTTCAGAGGGTTCGGTACGGTGCAGTGTTATTTGGGTGGCGGTCATGGAGACTGCTGCCCCCGCGGATGAAAATGGATGGATGGACGGATGGATGGGTTTCGGCCTTGACATCAATGACAAATGAAGCTACACGAGACTTAGCGCAGCTGCTGTGCTAAATCAGCCGTGAGCTGCTTCGACTTCAATCTTGTGATTCAGGTGAAAGGTTAATGCTCGTCTCTTGACGGTGTGGATTAAAGTTTAACTGGCGGTCCACAATTGGTAGAATCATTCAGGCGGTTCCGGCCGTTAACCGAAGGCGTTACACGCGTACGGCGAAACGGAACTGCGGTAGCTTGGTGCTTGTAACGAGGGCATCGCGGCAAGAAACGGAACTGCGGTAGCTTGTGCTTGTAACGAGGGCATCGCGGCAAAGTGGCTGGTCTGTATAGTTGTAGGGTTGGTCTCCCTTGTTATGGCGGTTGTTTTACAGCTGCTCGTTTTCTCCCTCTCAGAGGTGGCACGGGGTCAGAGACAGTTCACAGACGACCGAGCGCGGCCATGTGGATCCAGGGTCCGCAGTAAATGTCCAACTAAAACTACACAGCTGCCACTTTTACAATTTTCGGTCACGGGGCAGGCTCAGCCCTCCGTGAAGCCGCAAACCACATGTTTTCCCTGTGGAGTCGGAAACCCTCAGCCGTAATGTATATGAATGTGTAGATAATCGGGTTCCTACTGCGGACGGACAAAAGCCAGACGGCGGGTCACCGAGAATCCACACAGTTATTTTCCCATCAGGCTCTGATTGCCTTACAATACTGAGACATTTGGTGTTTTGTAGAAAAGTATACAAATATTAATTCGATTAATGCTGTTCAAGAAGGCTTCGCCAACCTCGTCAAAATAGAGTCGAATCAATAACTTTCAATAACCTCATTGGACAGGGAAGAGTACAAACTACTTAATACCTAGAAAATACACCAAAAATGTTTCTGTTTCGGTAGCATGGAGATTTTTACCATTGTTGATTTAACAAAATCTTTCATCATTACTCGTGATTAATGACGATTACAACGATGCAATGCTATGATTATAATCATGATTACTCGTCACGGTTAATTATGATCAATTGCTACCAAGTCAATTTTTCTGATCAAACATTGTAATCATTTGACAGCAGTAATATGGATGGATGGATGGATGGTTAGTTGAATGGATGGATAGATAGAGGGATGGATGGATGGATGGGTGGATAGATGGATGGATGGACAGATGGACAGATATATTGATGGATCGATGGATAGATGGACAGATAGATTGATGGATCGGTAGATTGATCCATCAATAAATTGATGGATCAATCGATCAACAGATTGATGGATGGGTGGTTAGTTGGATGGATGGATGGATAGATGGATGGATGGACAGATAGATTGATGGATCGATAGATTGATCCATCAATAGATTGATGGATCAATCGATCAACAGATTGATGGATCGATGGATGGATGGTTAGTTGAATGGATGGATAGATAGATAGACAGATAGATGGATGGATGGATGGATGGAAGGATCAAAAGTTCAAAAGACGTTTTTTCCAAAGACATGGCTGAATGAGAGAGTCCATTACGGCTTTCTTCTCACATCACTTAATTATCATGTATGGCTCTGGTCCTTGGTGCAACAGAGACACAACCGTTTCCTTTCATCAGTCCACTGTCCGCCCCTCATCCCAAGACAAGAAGTGATAAAGTAAAGTGCTGCTGTCTCCTTTTATCCTCCTCAACAACAGTCCTAGCAGCCTCCAGCGCGGGGACACTTACTTTTTTTT